CTTGACTACAGTATATATGTTCCTCTCTCTTCACATTTTTGTGTTTATTCATTTTACTACCAGACTGCCCGCTGGCCTGCTTGCTCACATTTCTGCTTCTATTTGGCCTCTACCCACCAGCAAAAAGCCCAGAGAGAAGAAAAGATGAAATGTACCACCAAGGTTAGGTGCTTTGAACTTTGTCAAAAAGATGGTGAATAGACTGGTGAGAAAGTAAGTGTCACAAGGTCTTCACCGCAGGTGAGAATGCACAAATGAAGATCAAGTCTTGTTCTTCTACTATATTAATAGCAGTCCACACAAACACCCTGCCATGCACATGTAATGGTGCTGGGTTTAGGAATAAATTGCCTGCCAGGTGAGGTGGCTCAAGCCTATAATCCTAGCACTTTAGGAGGCTGAGGTGAGAGGCCTGCCTGAGCCCGGGGGTTCGAGACTAGCCTGGGCAACTTGGTGACATCTCATCTCTAAAATAAATCAAAAACTTAGCCAGGTGTGGTGGCACGTGCCTGTGGTTCCAGTTACTTGGAAGGCTAAGGTGGAAGGATCACCTGAGCCTAGCAGGTTGACGCTGCAGTGGCCTTTGGCCGTGAGCATGCCACTGCACTCGAGCCTGGGTGAGACTCTGACAAAAAAAAAGGAATAAACTACCTGATCAATCCTTGGCCTGTTAAACCTGGAGCCTGATTATATATTGCTATTATGTTATTGACTGTCTATGATTCTAACACTATCACAGTATGTGATTACTTTTGATTCTATAAGTACACAGGGAAAACAAAGGCGGTGGCCAGCAAACCCACAAGAGGTCAGAGGACCCTGGACATGAACCGCAGGTGACCATTAGATAGGTATATACGTTGAGCAGGACCTTCATCCATATATCATAAGAGGCCAGGAGCCCCACATTTGCAGGATTGCTGTGGTGTTAGAGACAAGGTTCAGAACAATTCCAGCAATGTGCCGGGCATATAGGAAGGTCCGGGAAAGAGAAGTTGCCATCATTCCCAGTATGAGTGGAGTCACCCTTCCCCTCAGACACGGAGCTTCCCACCAGCCTCCCCAAGGAGATTCGCATGGCTCAGCCCGAGCCTGGCAGATTCAGTGCTGGTGACCCTCAGAGACTCAGCCCGAGTGGGGCTGAGAGCCGCCCTCTCCGGCAGCACTCTCTGGATCACCCTGCACCCTACCAGTTCAGCAGCCACTTGTGGGGACTGCAGGAATTTCCAGGGAAGGGTAAAGCAGACAGAAGACATATTTAGGAGGTGGAAAGAATCAGGTTTGGTCCCCAACACAGCTAGATTCTGAGTCTTGGTTTTCTCATCTGAAAATATGGATAGACAGCATTACCTCACTCATAGGACTGAGGATGACAGAAGATACTGGCACACAACAAACCTGGCCCACTAAAGACTAGTCACAGTGACATTGGAAAGCAAATGAAAGGCACACCTACACTTCTGATTAAGGAGTCACTCACAATTACCACACGCACACGGATTTTTACCAAGTCAGAAAATCACACTTGGGACAGACACTTCCTCAAGAATACACAAGCCACAGGGGGACCAACAGAGTCAAGAAACCAAAATCTGACCTCTGACATTTAAGGATATTGAAACAAGAACCAAGATATACTTATAAAAACGTACAAGTAAAAAACTGAAAGTATTCTCAATATATAATAACAGAATGGGTGTGTATTCCCATGGGCTAGGATATTATAAAGCCATGTTTTCAAAAAGGAAGAGGCAAAGTGGTACAGAGCATAGGATCTGGAGCCATTCAGACCCAAGTCTGACTCTTGGTCTCACCACTTCCTCTATGATCCTGAGCGAGTTACACATGTCAGGCCTTGGAGGG